CCAGCTCCTATCCCACAAATGCAGGTGTTCCCCAAGGCTCCATCCTAGGCCCTACTCTGTTCCTTATCTTCATCAACGATCTTCCTGACGTCATAGATTCCCGAGTAGGCATCTACGCAGACGACACTACAATTTACTCCTCTCTCAAAAACAAATCTAATGTCGTTGACGAAACTAACCTGGCCATTCATCTTGAAAAGGACCTCCAATTGGTTTTGAACTGGGGCTGGTTAACTTTAATGCCTCAAAAACAAAACTGCTCTCTATTACTCACCACAGAGAACCATCCCTGCCCCCCATTAGAATGTCTGACGCTCAACTTCTCGAGAGCTCCTCTTTGTGACTACTTGGCCTCATATTGACTGTTAACCTGAGATGGAACAAAGACATTGAGTCAATTGGCTTCGTCCACTGCAAGGAGAGTTGGATAACTGTGCCATGCCAGGAAATTTTTCTTGCCGGAGTCGATCCTTCAAATCTAGAAATCAACCATTCGCCCTTACATGGAGTATTGATGCCATATATGGTCCGGTGCCCCTTCTGTTTGTCTCAAGGTTCTTGATAAGACCCAGAGATGGATATGCAATGTAATTGGCCCTGATCTGGCATCTCGTCTGCAGTTGCTCTTTCACAGATGTGCCGTCACCTCCCTCTGTCTTTTTTGCAAGTACTTTCATGGTAACTGCTCTGATGAGCTGCTTTTGCTGGTTTCCAGACTTCATGAATTTAAGCATTCTACTAGGCTGGCATCTCGCTCACAACCTTTCTCTGTCGAAATTGTTAAATGTAGCCGTCTCTTCTACTCCAATAACTTCATGTCTTGCACTTCTCGCCTGTGGAACTCCCTCCCTTTTTCCTGTTTCCCTGATAGCTATAATCTCTAACTATTCAAATGTAATGTCAATCAACATCTCCAGATGCTGATCTATACCCTATCCTTCTCTTCATCCTTTCCTCTATCACTCCTATTCACTCTCGCTCCAACTCTCTGTAACCCGTTGCGTGCTAGTGGCTTCCCACCTTGCTTGGGGTGAAACGCTTAAAAAAAAAAAAAAAAAAAAAAAAAGAAGTCAGTGTATTCTGTCTGTTTGATTTTCACTCTTTTCAGAGAGTCTAAAACTAAACAGGAAATTTTCCAATTTCTTCTTTTTTTTTTTTTTATTGCTCTTCATTCAAATGTCTCAAGCTAATATAAAATATCTTACAAGTTGAAACCCAATCTGAATGAAATAGATTAGCAAAATCTACTTATATCTATATTGGAAACTTTTTCGGGATACTACTTAAATAGACTGGCCCACTCATAAAAAATTTTTTTTACAGGGGAATAATTTTTATAGATTAGCATTCTGCAAATCTTCATAAAACTGCTATACTTATCAGAATAAAATATATTGATTCATTATTGATTTAGAAGTGGATTCCTGTTTATAATATAGATACACTGTGATATTGATCCCTGGCTTTTACAGAGTTATCAGTCTTTACAATTTTGCATGCAAAAACGGACTTTTATGAGTGGGGGGAGGGGAAATCATAAAAAATTTTTTAAATAATAGTTATATTCTTTTGTAATTAAAGAACAAAAATTTATATAAATTAAGAAAGTTATATATTTTATTTAATTTATTTAAAATAGGTAATTATGAACCTCAAAGGTTTGTGCTTCTGAAAAAATTCCATTAAAAAAAAATTAAACATTAAAAGATTTTAAAAAATTCTGAAAATTACAAAAAAAAATGTGCAGATATCAGTGATGCTAGAAAATTTTAAAACTTGACATTTATAATGACATTTGACATTATATCGATAATATAAACATGACTCCCCCCCACTTTTAAATCAATAATGAATCAATATTTTTCAGTATTGCCAACTGTCACAGCCCAAGGAAAGTCTAAAGAATGTGAATCTATAAAAATTATTTCCCTATTTTTTTTTATGTGTGGCCTAATTTATTTAAGTAGTGTCACTTCTTGACTGAGAATCAAAAATATTCAAAGAAGTTAAAGAAGCTTAAAAAATAATATGAACATATCAATGACATTATTTACATTATTCGGACTATTGTCCTCATCTTTGTCGCCATATTTATCACAACATTAGAGTTATAATTTTTAAAAATGGCCTTCTTCAAATATGGTTGGAATGTCAAACTGAACCCTTTATTTAAATCATTGTTTAGACTGTTCTAGCTCCACGTGCCATGTTTAATGGATGTCACTTATCAGTTATCCCTGTTAATTCCCCTCTCCAAGTTCTCCATTGCCTTAACTGGGTATTGAACTCACATTCTTTGGGTCCTGTCACTGGATTTAACCAATGCCTTTATCCACTGTGCCATGTGTCCTTGAGTCTTCAAGTGGAGAACTTGAAGAGGGGAATTAACAGGAGATAACTGATAACTGACATCCATTAAACATGGCATGTGGAACTAGAACAGTCTACCCTAGTGAGCAAAACAAAGGGTTCAGTTCAACATTCCAACCACCTGATGAAGGCTAGAGTGTACAATGGCCGAAATGTTGTGATAAATATGGCGACAAAGATGAAGACAATAGTCCGAATAATGCAAATAATGTACATAATACCTCATCTCAGAAATATAGACAAATATCAATGGTGTTAGCTATTGACATTTGTAAATAACTCTTCAAAGTCAGGGATCAATTTGACACTGTATCATTATCATAAACAGAACCCCCTTTCTAAAACACAAAGAAATTTATATTTTTTATCCTGACACGGTGTCATGGCCTAAGCATGGTCTAAAGCTGCATTTTCAAACCTTTTTTTACTGCAACCCACAGCAAGAACCACATTTTGCATTATGACCCATTATACCTACGTGTAATAAATCAAAGACAAACTTTGTTCATTAGATTCAATTTTTCCAGTATTGAGAATTTATATGTATATTTCTTATGATCCATACATATTGGAATTGTATGTATCTATTTGTATGAATATAAAATTATTACTTTTAGAAAAACAAATTTAAAGGAAATTCTGACACAAAGACAAAGTAAATATTTGAAAAAAAAAATGCCATTTAATGAGACAGATGTGCTTGTTTCTTCATAAGCAGCTGATTTCAATTTGGAACATAGGAAGACAGTGTTACACATGCATATTAGGTGCAGAGTTGAACCTGTTTCTGCCCTTTGTTTTAAATTGAGTAAATGTGGAAAATCCCAGTTCACTTAAGTAAGTAATTGTAAAAGGCAATAGTAATAAAATGGGCTCTTTACTCAGTTATGGAAATTGTCCTTTGTTCTTAACCCAAAACTAGATACATAAACTTAATGAGAACAGACTCTCTCTCTTATATATATATATATATATATATATATATATATATATATATATATATATAATATATAAAATTATATTTAAAAAAGTAAAAATATAATATGAGCTTATCTTGGTGAAAAACTAGCAATGATTTATGAGTACTGTGCAACATTTAGAATTGTTATATTTTACACTTTGCTCTCATTTGCGTATTTTTTTTTTTTTTTTTTTTGTTGTGACTCATTTTATTTATCTCACAACCTACTGAAGTCTTGGGACCCACAGTTTGAAAAACCATGGTCTAAAAAATGCTAATCTGAAAAATGTTTTCCCTATTTTTTATGAGTGAACCACTATATTTAATTAGTCTCCAATTAACAATAAGTCTTTATAAATTACCTAGCACACTTTTTTTTTTTTTTTTTACATGTTATTTTATTTTATATTTTTTTTAATAATAATTAAGGACCTGATTTGGTTCTATTAAATATTTTATGATATCAAATACATAAAATATTTCATGATATCAAATGGACACTATTTACATTGCTTGGATTATCATGATTTCAACCTGATTCCACAGAGGGTCGTGATTTCCCTTTTCTCTCCATATGTGGTCAGCCACACCTGATTTTTCCACTTCCTCTCATGTTACAGCTTTTTGGTGTTCTTGAAGCCTTACCTTAATGGGGGGCCTGTCTCCCCTTTATATTTCTTTCCACAGCGGCACAGGATGGAGTACACACAGTCTTTAGTCATGTTCTCCTCTATGGGGGATCTTACTCAGGAGAGATATCTGTGAAGTGGTGTCAAGCTTTTGAAGTTTGTCTTGATGTTGTATGGACCGCAGATCCTTTGTATTTTCTCTGATAACCCCTTCAGGTAAGGTAAGGCAGGCAGTCCGCTGCTTACAACACCGAGCAAAAGATATGTCCTGATTTCAATTCTGCATTTTCTCCTTTTAACTTTTTTTTTTTTTTTAAAATGTACTTTTTGCACATAAAATTTGGTAAGGTGTGAACAAATAACTGATTTTGGTCATTGACTCCTGACTCTTGAGATGGTTCCATTCGATCTGAAAGTGCATTTTTTTTTTTTTTTCGTATATGAAACTAATCCATGTTGCTATAAGATCTAGATAAAAAACCTGAATGTGCAATGAAGATTGGAAAGGATAAGGGAGAGAATGAGAAGATACTGGCAAAATGTAAGCAAAGATGGTATCAGATAATGGATAATTCTAGCCCGCACAAAATTTTTCTAGGTTCAGTTAATTTGTATAAATGCAAATTAGAACAAAGTAAATCCAATGTAATTTTTCATGTTACGATTTTTCGAAAGAAAATAAATTAATATTTCTAAGTGACAATTATTTTTGTTTAAAAGTATTCAAAATAAAAAGTGAAATTTATGACTAAATTTATTTAAAAAGCAAAAGGGAAGAAGTGCATTTGACTAAAAGTTTAAAAAAAAAAACAAAAAAAAATGTTAATTTTTTTCTTTTAAAATGTGAAAAATTTCTCCCAATTTATTTGAAATGCAGAAAAGAATTGGTTTAAAAATTGCTCTGAATTACTGATAATCTGATATATTATAGAAATTTTAAAAATGTTTTTTTATAACAAACAATTTAAAAAAACATTCCCAATCGAAGGGTTAACGAGGATTAAGTGATTAAGAAATAAATGACAAACTTCAAATCTTACAAAGAATCAATTTCACGTCCAGATTTTTTAAATAAATATTGATGATCGATTGCAAAAAGCAAATTCTTCTTCCTTGTCAGTCCACACAAATAAAAACATCTTCAATAATTAATGACAAATACGAAATAAAACTGATCTTGTTAAGCTAATTCGGCCCTGAAATAAATTATTCTTAAGCAAGAAAATAAATAAATATTCTAAAAGGAAATACTTACTTATTTATGGGAAATCAAGCAAAGTGTTTGTTAATATTTTATTTTGTCCTAAACATTCTATTATTGCTCATAGAAACAAGGGTTGTTAAGCAAAGGGAAGTAACTACGTAGGGACAGAGTTGCCTCCCATGAACCACTCATGGAAAAACCAACAACAATTTTATTTATTTTTTAACATCATTTCTTTGAAGAAATATTGTTGACTATTTGATAAAAACTTCATTTGCTACAGATTTAAAAAAAAAATCTAATATTAACCGATCAATAATTAGCGAAATTTTATTCAAAACTTCCACTCCTAATTATAATTTTATGTAAAATTTAAAAATGGAAAATAAGTCTGGAATAATGAGAACACAAAGCAATCACATTTAAAAAAATCTGCATAAATTTGAACAGATTTAATAAGAAATATTCTTAAATTAAAAAGAAAAAAGAAAGGGTTTCACTTGTAAATATTTCACAATTTCTAAAAAATCATTTGAAACTAATTATTCAGAAAATCAACACATTTGACAAAAATTTTTCAATGGAAATGACAAATATTTTAAGTTTGTCATTTATTATTTATCAAAATTAAATCATTGCTGTTGAGGAACACAGATGAGCTTTTAGTGTACAATTGTGACAACTAATAAATTAGAATCAATCAACATTAATTTAGTTCACTGCTTATTTAATTCATGGCGAATAAGGACAATAAAAAAAAACACAGGATTTGATTTGTTAGTAGATGTGTTTTTGTTTGTTTTTTAATCATTTCACATTAAGCAAGGTGATAAAGCCTCTAAGACACCACAGGTTATTGAGAGCAAAATGAATCCAAGAAAAACATTATTGAGGAGATAGGACAATAAAAGAACAGGTTCTAATGAGACAGAAGATGACGATTGATGTTGCATTTACATTTTTGAAGATTATAGAAAAAACAAGAAGCTGAAGTGAGTTTCACAAGCAAGAATTTATCAGCATATAATTTCCCATGAACTGCTACTTAAAATCCTGAGTGGATGCTTTCCTGACTACTACAATCTTAACCTTTTCAAATCTAGGATTAACAGTTATCTTTTCCACATATCTTCATGTATGGCAACCAATGGTCTCAAGAAATTTTGGATCTGCAGCCAAAGATTTATGCCTCATCTGCTGATGGCAGTGTAGCATCTGTTATGGGTGTATTGGCCCACATGGGAATGATAGTCTTGATTGCAACAAATGCATATAGAGACGCTCCATCCCCCCCACCCCTGCGATGTTGCCATGTTGTTTTCTTTCTATTGAGAACGTTTCTCCCTGACAGCAAGCCTTCATTTCTCCTCTCTCTAGTCCTTGGTGTAAATCGCATCTCTAGCATGAGCGATTGTTGGTGACATCTTCCTTCGTGCTGGTGGTGACATATCTTCATAAACTGTACTTCTTATGTATTAATTTTACTGCTCATACAACTTTGTTCAATAACCATCTACCACGAGTGGCTCACGGGCCTTGTGTAAGGTTGTATCTCATGTTTTTGAGATAACAGAGAGAAATAAATAAGGAAAACGGACTCGTAGATAAGTAATGAAATAGAAGGTTTCTTACATGAAATTACATTTACTAATTGACCTCTACTCAACTCTGCTTATTTACCTAAATGGATGATTCCATTCATTCATATCCTATATAACAAAGATAGAATAAGTAACTGTAGTTTAAGTAACTTTGTATTGCTACGTCACTTGTACAAATCAAGATACTGCAGGTTCAATTTGTCGTCCTTGCTTTCTGAACATGTCACAACGTAAATCCGCCATTTCTTCTGCCGTTTTCACTGCTTCAGCCCCTCTTTTATCAGGCAAACACTGCGATTGACCAACCAATTTTCGCTTTTATTCTCAGTTACCCAGGCAAATAGCACAGGACTTGCTATTGGTGGAAGCATGCCAAACTACTAGATGGGGAGAGTAATGCCATTTTCATGGGTCAAACTTGCTGATGTCACATGCCACTCATTAAGGCAAGATCCTTATTTTCCTATGCACCAGATGCAAGCCACTCTGGCTCGCTTGCTTCTATGGGGCTGTTCACCACAGAAATTTACCTCATCTCTGCTCTGGCCATATTATCATAAAGGTGGGAAATATCCAGATTAAAATTGGTATTTGATTATTTAGTTTTACTCCATATTAATTTCTGGGATCAGGAGTTATGTGGACTATTGTCCTAATCTTTGTTGTTGTTATCCCAATGTTTCAGCTGTTTTGTCCACCATCCTTCATCAGCTGTTTGTTAATAAGGGTAACCTATAGTTCAGTTATTGCTCAACCCATTTCCACAGATTAAGTACACACTGCCTGTCCCAGAGATTGAACTCACAATTACTATGTTATCAAATTAAAGAACCAACACTTTCAACCATTAGCTCAGTCCCATAGACTCAGAGGGAACAGCTGCTGAAATATGAGAATAGTAATAGTCTGTGTGCAAATAATTTAAATACCAGCTTTTTTACCTGTGATTATTGGGGTTCTCATGGTTGAAGTGGTAATGTTGACATCCACAAAAAAATGGGCTCCCTGTGGAAAAATGGCCTACCTCGGAAACACCTGCGAATCTGTGCGATGTGCAAACTCCAGTTTTCTAGCGTTAAAAGGAACCAAAATGGCAGCGCCCATGTTTTATGCCGGGTGGTCTCGGTTAGTTAACGCGAAATCTCGTTGTCTCGTCATTCGCATGCAACTTGTGGTCGGTCCTTGGCTGTATAAAGCAGGCGCGTTTTTCTGTTTCGGATCAGAGGGCTTTTGGCTCGTGAGAAGGTTGGACGTGTGACACTGGTTTTTGTCGGTTACCCTCCTCGCGTTTTTTTTTTGTTCCTACCTGCTATTATCAGTTGAGTTGTTGTGTTACCCCCACACTCCCTAAGTGTAGGATTGAATGCCCAGGTTTGTTTAGAAGCTAATGTTCATTTTTCATATTGTTTGCTGAAAAGGTCAGACAGTATTAAAATCATATATGATTTGCTAACAGGACAGAATAATCCCTAAATAACCACAGTAAGAAAAGAGATCAAGAGATGATTTTTGGGGTGAATAGAAATAAGATGGAATACATCTATTTAAATCATGTGATAGTGTTAAAGAATGGAATGGAAATAAAACAATGCTTAAAACATAAAGTGTATAACACCAGTGATAGTATAATGGTGTTAAATATAAAAAAGAAACAAAATCCCTTGAAAAGAAACATAGAAATGCATAATGGAAAGAGCAATACTAAAAGGAAACATTTGAAATGAGAGAAAATGATATAAAAAATGAAATAAAATTGAAATGGGGGAAAAAACACAGAGTTAAGAAAAAAGAGAAACAGATGGAGCAAAAGGTTGGTTAGATAATCGACAAAACAAACATTAAGAAAAACATATGAAGATGAAAACATGGAAAGCATAGATGAAGAAGAATAACAGAGCAAGAGGTTGATTGATTGGGACTCAAGACTACAAATGTAGTTAGAAAAAAAACTGACAAAAGATGGAGGTTTCTGGTAAAAGAATAGTAATTATGGAATGATTTTGTACCAACTTTTGCCCAGCAGTGGGATTTGTAATAGCTGCTGCTGCTGCTGAATAGTGAAAAGCTCATGAACTGAGAAATGTGTTTTGTGACAGAAAGTAAAAGAATAAAGCTGGGGGGTTAGGTGAAGAATTAATTCCTACTGCTGACCCTCAGCTATAGGCAAAATGGAATGGCAGGCAATTAATTAAGCACTCTAAGGGAATGATATCCTAAAAAAAAACAAAAAAAAAAACCTATTGTCTTGGATGTCTTAGTTAAGCTACCAAGAAAGGTTGCAAAATGTTATAACAAGTGTATGGTAGCGATTTGGTTTGGTTTGTTTTACGACATATCAACCTCAATGGGTTATTTAATGCCGACAACTTTTTTTTTCCAGGTAATATTTTTGCTTTCTCAAAAATCTATTTCTTGTAATATTTTTTTCCTCAAAAATGTATAGCTGGTAATTATTTTAAAAAATGTATTGCTGGTAATATTTTTTTTCTTCAAAAATTTACTTCTGGTAATAATTTTTTTACAAAGTATTTCTGGTATTGAAACCTATTTTTACACTTTTATAATGCTTTTTACCTCAGTTTCGGGGTTAACTAAATGCCCATAGCTGGGACCCTAACAGGTGCTACCACCCCAGGTCAGGGTGGACATGGGGACACCAGCAATTAACAGGTGGTTCCGTGCTCATCGAAACCTCCTGATCAGAGGCCTTGTTGTTGGACGTAGTTTATTGTCTTGCCCAGAACGCAGATGTAGTTTATTGTCATACCCAGGACGGCATATGGTAAAGTAGAAACACTGGAGTAAGGTTGAATATATATTCTGGGAAAAATAATAAAAACAAAGAAGTTACATACATAAGCAGTGAATAAAAAAAATGTGAGTTTGTTCGAGAAGTGTTCTGTGGTTTGGAGTTCGTTTGGAGGAAGGTAGAAGCGGGAGGATGTTAACTGATACTCAAATTCAGCTTTGTGGGAATTGGTGTGGTGGATAGGCAGTCTGGGAGTACTGATGGTGGGAAGTAGTTCAGCCTGGCTGCCAAGGGAATGTGTTCTTGCAAGCGACGAAGCTGCTGACTGATGAAGTAGCCAGTGAGATGAGAATGTCCCCTTTTTAAGTGGCCTGCAGGGTTGTATTTCTATTACTTTGAGGGATCAAAAAGGCATCTGCGTCCTTGGCTTGTGGTGCCTTCCGATTATCATGTGAATGCTTGCCACTATGTGCGCCAGTCAGTGACCGCAAGATGACCTCTAGGCCATTCTAGTTTTTGACCATAAAGGGTCCATGAATTGCAATGAGATTTGGCTTAGAGTATAACAAAAAGAATATTTTTACCTGGATGAAATGAGCCTAGAATGAAATTTCTACCAAGCGATATGTACATAAGTCTGTTCATGGTTTCTGCTGTCATCTCCAAACTTCATTCCCACAAGGCATAATACGGATTGACAGTGTATCCCTGCTATTGTCCTAAGGAAACATGCCTCTGATCTCTCTAAACTCTACTGTAACACTGTATCCTCACCCCTCTGGACCCGGACACTCCACAAGACTGGCCGTTGGTCTGGTATAGTCCAGTATTACATGTTAGACATAAGTCTCCAGTTCCCAATGTCAGTTTGAAGCCACCCTCCAGCCATGTTATGATTGTTGAAATCTGGAAGCTTTCCATTGGCCCACCTGTGAGATCGTTGGGTGAGAATCGGTTTAACAGAAAAAATAAATATAACCAAGTCGATTCGATTTTGAAAGGACAAATGTTTTTTTTTTTTTTATATATAAAAGCAAAACACACACACACACAAAAATGATTCTTGTGGCACAAGGTTAAATGTTTCTTGTATGTGAACAACAACCAAACACAGATACTTTGAATAATTTTGGTAAGGAGAGATGTGGCCTTCGTTTTAACCCTTTTTGGTCTTTGGTTAGCGCAACTACTACAACCTTCGATGGTCCTGTTCTCAGCAGTAGTAATAGTAGTATTAGTAGTAGCATTATTTATCAGTCTTGATCTGGCATCTTGACTTCAGTCACTTTCCCAGTGCCATGTCATGGCTTCTCTTTGTATAAATATTTTCATAGTAAGTGTTCTAATGAGCTTTTCTGCTTGGTACATTGACTGCATGAATTTAACTGTACTACTAGATTGGCAATAAAGTTTCCTTGTTTTACTGTTGAAACCATACATTTTATGCTGACAATTTCTTCTTTTGTACTTTTCGCTTGTAGAACTTTCTTCCAGCTTCCCATAAACTAGGATCTTCAAAGATTTAAATGCAATGTCAATCATCATCTTCTGTCCCCTTGAACCCTGTCCTTTGTTTTTTTCATTCTCAATCACCCACTTTTGCATCTTAGTGCTTTTTATTGGCTTGCTTTGGGGTGGGACAATTAAAACAAAAAACAAAATTAATAATTAAATAATATTAGTAACAAAGAATGATATTTCACACAGTGAGAATAAAAAGTAATTATAATACAATTTGAATAGTACATCATTCTGATGATTGTAATCTTTTTTTTTTTTAAAAATCCCAAGTGATAAATTTAAATATAAAATACCAAGTGGCACGATTTTTTTAATACAAATTGGTTGCTGAAAGCATTTTTTTTGTTTTAGTTAAGATAATTAAAAGAAAGCTATATTAAAAACCAACACAATACAATGTTGCTGCCTTTCACATCATATATGCCACAAAAAAGTATTTAATGGTGTTAAAGATTTTTTGACTTTGAAATGGATATCATTGAAGACAGATTTTCAATGTTTGCTAATATCCAAATAGCCTTATTAACATGTCATAAAATGACATTTTTTATTCCGAGAGAATGAAGGAGTCATCAAGAAATAATCATGACAAAGTCCAGAGACTGATTTATAAGTAGAAGAAAAACAAGACTTTGCATTCAAGAAAAACAAGAGAATGAACTGGTGAGAAAAAAAAGCAGTCAACTAAATAAAAGAAAAGAGAAAGAAAGGAAATTATTCATACTTTTTTTTTGTTTAAATAAAACCATTTTATTTGCCATTTTTTTTTCTCTTTTCTCTACAATAAAAAAAGAAACAAAATTATAAAAAAAAAGAAGCAAAACCTTATTTGTCCAAATTTTTAATTAGTTAAAACTTAAACATCTACTTTTTGACAAATACTTTTTGAATTTGCTTTAAGAACCGTTGTCATGCATCTGCAAGAATTATGAACACATCTAACCGCTTGTCATTTCCTATTTCATCAACACTGACATGTGCAATAATTGCAATCATATTCATCAAATTAGCGCAACTCACATACATATAAATTATATTTCTTTAAAAGTGAAAATAACTGTTTGTTTTGTGATTATATACAACACTTATTTAGTGTATGTTTAGATTTTCTTGAACCAGTCTTTGGTTAAAAAAAAAAAAATGATTCCCTTGGCTGGTTTGACAATAATTACAAATATTCACGTTTCATTTACAAAAATATTTTCATTCAAAAACCTTTTGGTCATCTGTAATGAATTTGAATAAAATGTGTAATATTCTTTTTTTGAAAATTAATTTCTGCACCAAATTTTGTTTCCAACTGACAATCATTTTTATGTTCCTTATTAAAATGTCTCATCGGATTCCAGATTTTCAAATCCTTGTTTTACTCTAAACTCATTTTTGGTGCCTCAACAATGGCGGATACATGTTTATCCAGACTTACTGAGAAAGTCTGCAGATATAGCAATGGTTGACTTTATCAATTGTCTCCACCAATAATTCTGTTATTCTTAACCCTTTGAACCCTGACCACCACTTTAATGATGGTAGAGAAAAATGACAATGCCCAGCCACTGATTGAATGGTGGGTAAACACTTGTAACTATTTTTATATCTACCGTAAACATTACATTTCAATTATTTGCAAATTTTGACTCAGAAGCTCAGGCAGGGTTAGGATTAAAATTGTTCAGGAACACAATGTTCAAAGGGTTAAGAGAATAAAAGATTTGGTTCCATCTTATGTAGAAGTTTTGTCACAAACCAAGATGACAAGGTTATTGTCATCTGAACAAGGTTCATCAGCAGCAGAAGATATGGAATCTTGCTTGTTAGGAATCAGTGATGTCTATTCCCCAATGTGTTCATACATCAAAAGATTTGTCACCACTTGGTGTGACAACCTTCTTCTCATCTGAACATTTTTCATCAGCTGCCAAAGATACAGAATCTTGTTTGTTTGGAATTGGTGAGGTCTTGTCACCAATATCTTCAAATGTATCCATCTCAAAAGATTTGTCACCACTTGGTGTGACAACCTTCTTCTCATCTGAACATTTTTCATCAGCTGCCAAAGATACAGAATCTTGTTTGTTTGGAATTGGTGAGGTCTTGTCACCAATATCTTCAAATGTATCTATCTCAAAAGATTTGTCACCACTTGGTGTGACAACCTTCTTCTCATCTGAACATTTTTCATCAGCTGCCAAAGATACAGAATCTTGTTTGTTTGGAATTGGTGAGGTCTTGTCACCAATATCTTCATATGTATCCATCTCAAAAGATTTGTCACCACTTGGTGTGACAACCTCATTTTCATCTATAAATGTCTCTTCATTTACCGAAGATATGGAATCTTTGTTGACTGGAATTGTTAATGCATTGTCATCACATGCATCAATATCAATAGTAGTTTCTTGCTTGGCATTGTCCCAGGAATCTACAGATTTACTTTTAGCATTTGCAACATTCTCTTCCTTTGCATCTAAACTTTCAACACCAGGTGCCAATGGATGGCACTGATTTTTAGATGCATTCATCTCTGATTCTGCATCTTGTGACTGTTTTTCTTCATCTTGTGATGATGGAATAGAAAGGGAAGTTTCTGCAATACAAAAAAAAAAAAAAAACAATTATCTATTTACGACAATTGCAACACACGGTGGCAATTGGTTGGTGTTAAATTATGAAAATATTATAAGAAAAATTAATTTGTTTTTAAGTTTTTCACGGACTCATTACATCTGGAATTAATGATGAAATTATCAACCAATCAAACATGAACTGTTTATGTTCAGGTGCCAGACTTTTACCATAATGAAATCATTAGCCATATGATTGACAGAAAAAAAGGAAAAGATACTGCATAGTTCTAATATTATGGAAAAGAAGAATGAAGTGGGAGATTACCGAAGGTACAAGTTGACCTGACTGACAGAATAAATTCACTTTACCAATGATAACTCAGACTTGAAAACAGTTTGGTTTGTTTTGTTTTATGCTGCATCAACCTCAATGGTTTATTTAATGCCGACAAGATTTTTATTGCTGGTAATATTTTTTTTTGAAAAATGTAATACTGGTAATATTTTTTTATTCAAAAATTCATTGCTGGTAATAATTTTTTAGAAAAATGTATTGATGGTATTAAAATCTATTTTTACACATTTATAGTGTTTTGACCTCAGTTTGGAGGTTAACTATTTACCAATAGCTGAGACCCTGATAAGTACTACCACCCCAGCTCAGGGTGGGCCTGGGAATACCAACAATTAAGAGAAGGTTCCACACCCCTCAAAACCTCCTGATCAGAGGCCTTGCTGTTGGATGTAGTTTATCATCTTATCCAGGACACAGATTGTTATACCATAATACCTATTCTATTGTAATAGACTCTCCCACAGATAATAAGTAGTAGTAGCAGTGGCCAGTTGGGCTCAGTGGTGTTGAGTGGTGTCGATGTCGGACATTGAAGTATCAACCATCACAACTAGATTGCTGCGTCATTAACTCTTATTTCAAGTTCCTAACGTTTTGTACGTCGGACCCTTTTTTTAAGACCGACTTAGCAAAATACAAGCATCCACTGTGAAAACTACTCTACAACACAGATTTAGTTTATCGTCATACCTGGAATGGTCGGATGTAGTTTATCGACACACCCGGGACTCATCAGCAGTGCACATCCACTACCAAGAATCAAACCCAGACCATTACAATGCAAACATCATATCACTGCGCCTGCAGGCCTTGGTGACAAAGAGGAAACCAACTAGACTCACTATAGCAAAAGCTACTCCTAATTCTGGTGGTGATACTCATCCAAGCATGCATAACCCACTGGAACTAGGGCCTCAAGAGCATCATAAAAGTCTGAGTTTGATTCTTCTTACTGGATATGCACTGCTGATGAGTCCCAAAAACAACAAAACAACTGTCCAGTGCTTTCTGATTTCAAAAATCAATAAATATACTCTAATGAAAAATTGTTCAAAATATCCTGCAGTGTCTCATTAACCTTTACATAACATCCAGAATGTTTACTTACACTTATTTAAATATTATGTTAGTTCCTTACACGTGACACACATCCAATCAAAACATCCTACTGCATCATATTATTTTTACACTTTAGCATCGAGAAAGTTTGCCACACATATTTAAATATTATCCGTCGCTTTGATACATGTGACACGTACCTAAGCAATGAAATAACCTAACACAATATACAATTAATCTGCGTCTCTTTGTTTTTAATCATTTTTTATCATTTCTATTTTGATCTCTGACAAAGCTTTAATAAAGTGAAAAATGTTAGATTAAAATCCGTTTCCTACTTGTCCATTTTCAATGTGTTATCATTTAAAATAACGCACAATTGTCTATAAATATTTTTTGTCTTTTGAAAATCATTCTACTGTTTCCTACCTTCAGTTTAAATTAGCGCAAAATGTCATATCAATTAAAAGAAATCAGACCAGGATTTTGAATCTGACTGAAACCATTTGACAACATCCAATCACATGTTGCCCCCCCCCACCACACACACACACAAGGAAAGAAGGAGGAGGATTTCTACATGTCACATACTTTGACTCTGTGAAGTCTGGTTCTGCAATTTCTGGGCTCTCCTCTCCATTGCCAAACGTCTATTTCTTTCAATCTTTTCTTTTAGTTCATCACTGAGAACCTAAAAGAAGAAAAAATACAATTTGACATTTATAAACAAACAATTTATCTCATATATAGACGATCGTGTGAACAAAATAGCCAAGATTTTTCCTACTGTGACAAAAGAGACTTTTTGGTCTTCAGGAGCACACCTTTGCAAAATATAATGCAAACGAATGTAGATTAGGGGAATTTAGACAGGAATAAAATATGTCTGTATATGTATACAACCAGTATATCTATGTGTATATGCAGGAATGTGTATAGGGATAATGGAATTAGGTTAAATAGGTGTTAACCCTTGTTGAATGGTGGTGCCTAACCATTAAAAATAGGTAATAAATTGCTGCCAGTTAAATGGTGCCATGAGAGCTTAGGAAGATGGCAAGAATTCATTCTATGCTCAATAACATCATACACAAATATATTTTTGAGGACAGGACAGCAAGGAATGTGTTGCTTTCATGCAGGTTTGATCCTTATAGCTGTGTGAACAGTTCGGGAAGGAAAATGTGACTCTAGAAGAAGATTTTTATGGTGTAAACAAGTAGCGTTATGAGAAGGATGGTTTATGGTCAAGGGTCTTAGATATTCAGTTCAGGTTTTTGGCAGCTGCAGTAGTTGTGTGCAGAATAGCATTCAGTGAGATTGGAGCAGTGATGCCATAATGCCTATTACACTGTTTCTGCTATATTAAGCTCAGGTTAGCTAAACCAAGTTGAGATAATCTTTACCAAAGTTAGATGCCACAACCGAAGGAGTTACACATCGACTGAAAACTTAAACAACAAGAATCATTTCATGTTATTCTTGCTGCTTGCGAGTTTCTTATTTCATTTTCATTTGAAGCACTTATCTCATGCCGTCTATAAATTTCCACAATTTTTTTTGTGAAAAACTCCAACATAATGTCAGGAAGAAAGTCTGTGAGAAAGACTGAGCATTGGGTGTTGGTTCACACTACTAGGTGGGTAGAGATACCCTCATTTAAAGGTGGAATACTCCAACTAAAAATGGTGGAGAGCATATTGAGGACTAGACTGGAATTCAGAGACTTTTGTGTTCATTTTGATAGGTAATAAGTACTTCTATTATTAAATCTGTTGTAATTAAAGAACAGGCATTACTTTTTTGACCACCTTGTGGGTATATATATATATGTGTGTGTATATATATATATATATATATATATATATATATATATATATGTGTGTGTGAAGTGTGTATATGTATATATAAATATATATATATATATGTATATATTTAATTATTTATTTTTGGATATGATGACCCTGGGTTTCACGCTACTTATTAAAAAGTGTTCAATATCAGAGATAGAGCTAAGTTTAAAATTTTGAGTTTTGGATTGATTTAATGGATAGAAACTGTTAAAAATGACTGGCAGATTCCACCAAACTGGGAGGAAGGTAAGGATACTGAATAACTTTGGTCTGAGTTTTTTTATCACATCCAATTTTATGTATCTGTCAATATCAAGAGAGAAATTAGAATAAAAAAATATCTATATCTGTCAAACTGAAAAGGAAATTTTGAGACAAAATTGCAGTGAATATGTGAATCAAACATCCCTCCTGGTTTGATAATATGGTTGACTTGCTCCAATTTTTGGTTTGAACACAACTGAAAACTTGTGGAGCATCTTCAATTAGAAAAGTTTGCATTGGGGGATAAAAATTTCCAAGCTCCAATTCTGGTGTCAAAAATGTTGTCCATTTCTGATGAAGAAATCAACTTGATGAATCAATGCATGAACAACTATTAAAGTTAATTTTCAGAGGCACATGTTGCATACATTTCATATTAATGCTGGATTTAGAATTTGGTTGTCATTACAATGAGTGCACAAATCATTCAAGATTTTTGGTTCAAGATTCATCTTTATAGAATTGGTGCACCTTCTGCAATTATAATTTTGGGGCAGAAGCGACAAAATAATAATTTCTTAGAATTTTGATAACTACGGTGGCTTGGTTGGACGAATGGACTAATCTTGTAAACTTGCCATTGATAAATATTATCTCCATATTTTTAGTCAAAGTTAAATTTTGAAACTTTTCTTATGAGATGTCATATTTTGTGAAGCATTCTTACAATATAGAAGTTGCTTTGTCACTGTTTGCGTTAAAAAATGGCCTCACTGAACTCGGATGACATATTCAGGGGAGACTGGGTGGCGTTTTTTTTTTACTGTATTTTGTTGCTTTTTTTTAACCTAGAAAGAAATGGGTTACTGAATGAGGAATTATCAAAACGGAGGTTGGAAATGAAATGGTAATCTTTATGCGTGTTTTACCATAATCCCAATCTTGAATGTAAAGAAAGGATTATTCCCAACCCCGAAATATTTTTTAATCAAATTGCAAATTCTTTATTTCTTTTCAGCTTTCTACTTATGCAGGTAGGTAACCACTGCTAGTGGTTACATAGACAGACATTCATCATATTATCCCCACTTACAAGAGTGTCCAATGTATTTGTTTGCGTTGAGGATTAAGAAACACCCATTAGTGTTCATAGGTATGATATATAACCCTGTTCGATAAAGAAGAGCATATATTCAGTTGATTGTTGGATGTTTTACGTTGTTCTATGCATATTATGGTTGCTTCTGACGTTTGTCTTTTCCGTTTTCCAAAATAAACCTTTCAAGTAATTGTGAAATATATAAGAACAAGTGTTGGAAAGTGTTTGACTCACTGTTTTTGATTTGCTACTACAATTTGGTTGCGACGATGGTAGAAGGTTGCCAGGTGAACTGGAAAGTGACGTAAACTGTGACGATGTAGGTGTTTGCATCATTTTATCAAATGCATGTTCTGCTTCAGTAATTTCATCCTACAAAAAAAAACAACCAAATAATAATTAGAAGCTATAGTAATTAAAAAAAAAAAATAGAGATAAAAACATTCTACAAACTTTCTTGACACTTAATGAAGCTTAAAAATCAGTTAATAGTAAGGACATATTACACTGTCTTGCGTACATGCATGCCATAAGTAGCTAGATAAATGCATTATGGCAAATAAAACTCTGAAGCCAAAGTCCTGTTCATCATCAGGTTTATTGAGAGCCAAAAGAGTGAAACTAGAAAAAGAAATAAATAAAAACTTCAGACTAGTTTAATCTGAATAAAAAAGAATTAAATAAAAAGGTGAAAGGAAAGACGAAATATGACAGAGGTGTAATGTCTTAATAAACATATCAGCTGCATCAGCAGAAGCATTGAGTGTATAAAAACAAAAGCACCCTTAAGTAACTCTCTCTTCATGTTTTCCCTTCTTTTGAAGTGTGTGCCATCTTTTTTTTACATCGAAACAAAAAAAGTCTGTGGATGCTTCTCATATAAACACATCTAGAACAGGCAAGTCACACTCAAATACATTCATTAACAATTTTAATTGTGTATTCAATTCATTTCTAGGAAAAGAAACTCTTAAACTTATCTTTTGTTAAATAAATGTTGTCTTGCATTGCAAATCAGCCTGTTATTTTGTAGAATTATTTTCCCGCCATTATTTCATGTAAAATATTCTCGTAAAACCCTTTATACATTAATTATAGAAGTAGCCGACATTACTAAAGCTACCTGAATTCTGAACATAACTCTGAGACTGTGTATCTGAAGGAGGGTAGCAAAATAGTTTTTTACAGGAATAGGTTATAAAGTTTACAATAATAAGCCTACATAAAGTTACAGTATTACAGTGTGAACAGTCAACATGTTGTGAAAAAGTATTCTACATGAGGCAGTACAGCAGCTAAAATAAATGTATACAAAATGGTAATTGTTGTGAAGTAGAGGTTAGCACTAATCAGCCACTAAGCTCGTACTTCTACCTCGTTATTCCCAGTCACCACTTATATGAGTGTTCACTTATTCTTATGCAAATTATGCATACTAATTTGCTAGTATCACTATATCTCCCTGAACCTTAAGGGTTTTATTCCTCTCGTAGATCTTGTACTCCTTCTCCTGCTATTTTCCTCACTTTGTTCTATTTCTCTCTCTCCCATATTTCTTTCCCTGGGAGACCTCGATCTGTCCTGGGCTAGGCTGTAGTCATATGTGATTTCTTGCATAATCTGGTCTTTGTCCGAACTTTCAGACTCCTTCTGGCCCTCTTCATCCTGCATTGTTTCGTCTTCTGACGTTTCCTTCTGTAATGGTTGTTCTAACAACTCATTATCAGATGGAATTGAAGACATTTCTTCGTCGTTTTGTTCTTCCTCTTCACCCTGGGTCCTTATTTGGTCTGCATGGGTTAACACACTATCACCATTTTCTCTATTTATTATGGCTGTATTGTGGCCTTTTTGCATTATAAATTCGGCTCCTTCCGGATCTGCATCTTTGCTGTTTTTGTACCACATTTTTTCATTTGTAGAATATGGCATCGTTAGTGGAGTTCTAATCTGTCTTCCCATTAAAGCTGATTAGCTTTCTAGTCTTCCTGCATGTGATATCGTACGATAGCTTAAAAGCAGCCTCGGTAGAAAAACTTCTACTTTTTCTTTTTGCTGAGAGCATGCTTTTAGCCCCTTTTTTACAGTCTGTACCATTCTTTCTGCTAATCTGTTTGATTGAGGGTGATATGGAGGTGTCTTATATGGTTTACACCCTATTTTTTCTAACCATACATTAAGTTCTTCCTCCACAAAAATTCTGGTGCATTATCAGATACCAAGGTTTTTGGTACGCCATTTCTGGAAAATATGACTCTTAAAATCTGCTTTATAATAGAACTTTTCTTGTTTGTAACCTGGATTATTTCAGACCAACCTGAAATGGAGTCTACTAGTATTAATAAGAGTCCACTCCATTAATATATGCATGATCCATATGCACACGACTCCATGGCTCCACATCTTTGGGCCACGAATGTAATTTGATTAGTGTAAAGTTTCTTAAATCTTTACATTTTTTAAACATTTTTACATATTCCTCAACGTCTCTTGAATATCCCAGCCACAGTGTATATCATCATGTACACTTTCTATTATCGGTTTTCTTTGTGTTCTTCTGGGGAACTACCAGGTCCCCATTGCAAATCACTCCATGTTCTATTGTTAATTTGTGCCTCATTTCTTTATAGGGTCTTTCCTCCCTAGAATGAGTTTTTTCTTATTCTCGATACTATCCTACTTAGCACTGGATCATGTCTTGTTTCCGCAACCATTCTGTCTAAAGACAAAACATCAGTCTCTATCAAGTGTAGGAATGAATCTTCAAATTCTTCCTGTTTTATCTTTTGACTCCTTGTAGAACCTCAATCTTGATAGTGCATCCACATGTGGAATTGAATTTCCTTTGACATAATATCTAAGTCAAATGCCATCAATCTTATCGCCCATCTTAGAATCCTTGATGTTGTGACTTTGGGTAATTCTTTCCTTGGGTTAAATATAAACTCTAATGATCTATGATCACTTAATAGAAATTTTTTCCCAATTAAAAATTGTCGGGCTCTGGTAGTTGTCCACGCGATAGCCAATGCTTCTTTCTCTATGTTTGAGTAATTAAACTCAGTGTTTGTTAATCTCGACAAATACATTATCGGATGTCCTTGTGATAATATTCCCGATATTGAATGTTCACTTGCATCTGTAGTGAGTGTTATGTCCTTTTTTTGGATCAAAAATTTTCACTACAGGTTTCTTTGACATAATTTCCTTTAATCTTTCAAAAGCTTTTTGCTGTTTGTCTGACCACATAAATTCCACATTCTTTTTTCTTAAATTTGCAAACGGTTCCATCAAGTCCGTGTATTTTGGTAAGTATCGCCTGTAAAAATTTACCAATCCCAAAAAAGACTCCAATTCTTTTTTATTTGTAAGTGTAGCTACTTTTAGTATTTTTTCTGTCAAGGCTTGGTCTGGTGATATACCTTCTTTTGAAATGGAATAACCTAAAAAAGATATTTTGTTAGAATTGCTTACGCATTTTTTTTCATTTATCGTCATTCCCACATTTCTTAGTCTATTCAAGAGTAAGTCAGTTGACTCTTTTAATTCCTTTTCATTAGTAGCTCTTATGCATATGTCGTCTTTGGTAACAAATCATATTTTGTACATTTCCGAAAACCTGTTCAATAGCCCTTTGAAATATGGTGGTTTTTATTCCATATGGCATCCTTTTCCCATCTTCTTTGAAGTATTTTATTGGTTACTTTTGGTATTTGGTGGTATTTGCCATGCCGTTTTAAATCTATTTTTGAAAAACAGACATCCCTGCCAGTGCATGTAATGCAAGTTCAACATTGGGTATGGGATATGAATCCAAGCATATCTTGTGATTTACTCCTATTTTGTAATCTCCACAAATACGTAAATCACCATCTGTTTTCCTCAAAACTACAATCGGTGATGCCCACTTGCTACCTCCAGGCGGAACATCTTCAAGAAGGTCTTGTTCTACTAATTTACGTAGTTTTGTAACTACTAATGGCAATAAATGTACTGGTATTTTTCGTGCCTTATAATAAGAGGGGGAAACATTTTCTTTTACTTTTAAACTTGCTTCATAGTTTTTTAACTTTCCAGTTTTTTCCATTTTTATTTCATTAACTTAGTAGAATTTATATTAAGCACATCATTTCCAATAAGCCCTTGTTTTTTTTTGCAACTTGTAACAACTATAGGTATTACTTCCAATTTTTCTTTTAACTCTAATGAACCTTCAAAGTATCCTAATGTTTTTATAACCGACCCATCAAATTGGTGAAGTTGTAAATTGCTTTTTCGTAAAGGTGGCTTACCAATGTGTTCCAAAAAATTTTTTGGTATCAGTGTTACTTCACTCCCAGTATCCATTTGCATATCTAAATTGCAGTTATTAATTTTGACCTTTACTAATATGTCTTTTTTCTTATGTTCAATTCTTTTTAAAGTCTTATTTTTTAATGTAAAAACTTCCCTTTCTTCAATTCTTTCAACATTTTTTTTTTAAATTTACACACTGCTTCAAAGAGGTTCTTTTTTAAGCAAGTTTTTCCAAATGCTGGACACTTTTCCTTTTTCATTTCGTGTTCACGTCCACAATACGAACACTTTTTTTTATCTTCTTTAACATGTACGTATCAGCAAATATTTGTTCGCTGGGTTGACTTTTATAATGGTTGTATGTCTGTATTAGTTCTTGTTGCTGCATAAAGTCAATAGATGTATTTAAAGACATATTTCATATTTGTAATTGTTCCATTATTTTATATCGGTGTGACGCATTGGACATACCTCCAATTAGTCTTAATTGAATCAAGTCTTCTTCAATAGTCTGTTTGTCTTGTCCAAGTTTTTCAAATTCACAATATCTACTTGCATTTCGTAGACGGTGTAAATATTTTATAATTGGTTCGTCAATTTCTTGTTTCATCGACATGAATTTTGTTCTTTCTGCCACTACCAGCCTTTTCTTGGGTCTCATTTCTTCTTATAATCTGACTTATTTTTCGAAAGTCAGGTCTTCCAAATTTAAGGGATATGCCATGGTGGAGACTTTCATTACCGCCTCGCATCCAGCTGTAGCCAAAAATAAATCCGTGATTTCATTTTCGCCACCCTTTTCCTTGCTGTCTTTCAACTTTTTTGTTCTCGCAATGGCAGAGAAACAACGAATCCATGTATCCACGAAATCTGGATCTTTCAGAGACAATTGATATCCTATTGGCGACGCCATTGTTGTGATGCAGAGGTTAGCACTAATCAGCCGCTAAGCTCATACTTCTGCCTCGTTATTCCAGTGACCACTTATATGAGTGTTCACTTATGCTTATGCATACTAATTTGCTAGTATCACTACAGTAACCTTAAACAAATTTTCAAATAATAAGATGACGTTTTTAAAGAAGGCCAATGCTTAGAAAAAAAAGGGAGAGAGGTTACATACTGGTGATGATATCTTTGGGGATAGAGTTACGGGGATAAGAAAGTAGGAACTGTAGTTTATTGTGTGAGATCTGGTAATTATTAAGGGCCAAACAAGAAGTGGTCAAAAATGGTGACTTATGTAAAATGTACCTAAATTAAACCAATGAGAAAATAAAATAGGGCTGCTGTGCTATGGAAACACAACATATGTAATATAGAACATGAAAGATATATGCACTAGGTCAGTAAGACTTAAATGATTATATTTGGTTGTAAAAATAACAAAGATGAAAGTGATTCTCATTAGAAGAAAAGGTTAAATTATACACAAATTACACTGTTTAAACTGTTGTCCTCATCTTTATTGTCATATTCACGTTTTTGGTTGTTGTACACACTGATCTTCTGGTGAGATAGGTTTCGTTTTGAAAATTCAACCTTTTATTTAGTCTCAAGGGTGGAGGCAGAGATGGTTCCAATTCCACATGTCATTCCTTTTCTGGATATGTTTCAATTAATTCCTGTTAGTAACTAAACTCTCCAAGTTTTTGTTCCCTCTGCTATGACTTGACCCAAAGAATTGTGAATTCAATACATGACCAAAGTCCAAATAATGTAATTAGTATAAATAATTACATTATATCATCTCAGAAATAGATGTTAAATTGTACAGACATGAAGGATATTGATAATTGTGTATGCATAGCACACACAAAAAAATCTTGTAGAAACCAATTTTCAGTTTTATATTCAGTAAACAATTTATTCAGAGTGTTATAATTTATTATTATAATTACTACTCACTTAAAGGCCGCCAAAATCAGCCCTTAAGCATGATGGCAATTCACTTCCTATTTATAAAATTTATATTTATTTGCAAATAAATAAGGGAGATTACTCTGTAATTAACTAAACTACATCTACATTT